TTAAGATAATTACAGATTTTGTTGAAAAAACGTGATTTCTCGCAAGATTTGACTTTCCTAGCCGCAGGAAACTACCGCCATATCTCACGAACCAGAAGTCGCAACTTAATAAATGTATAGTGTTTCTAATAGAAAATTTTATGATCTTTTGAAAAAGTTCAGTGACATTTTTCCGTAGGATCGATATTTTTCAAGATATAAGCTAAAAACCGGTCGCCGGCGGCGTATTTTGGCCCCCCGCCCCCCTTTTTTCAAGATGGCGGCCTTAGCGGACGGCCGATTTTGGTAAACTTTTGATATGTTGTTCTGGTAGCCTAATGCAACATGTTTCCGCAAAAAACCTTCTATATATAGATTTTCCCAGAAAAATGCTAGATTGACTGGACTATATGATGGCTCCCGTGAATTTTTGTCGGATTTTGAGGCTTTTTCTGCGGTCGGTAATTAGTTCGGAAAAGTGAAACTTTGCAATTCGGTTGTACAATTTTATGCTCTACAACTTTTGTCTCCAGGAATTTTGTCAGAAAGTGGACTCAAGACGAGTTATTCGCGGAAAACCCAACGCGCGAATGAATTCTCCATTGCTCCTCTGCAGTGTCTTCGAGTGCTTGGGACACACGCTCTCTCCCCCTTCCCGCTTGCCCATCCATGGAGTTCGAAGAAACTTGTCAAGCTTCGCCTGTGCAGAACAGAGCCGGATGCACGGACTACGTACTTCAATGTCTTTGGCTGCAGTGTTACTATTCTAGAACTCTAGTGGTGGGTCGAAAGCAATAAGCGCTGCCTATCGGCTGAGCGCTTAAGTTTCCATAGGGCAGCTGAGCAGACCTTTTAANGGGGGGGGGGGGGGGGGGCTGGAGGCTTCACCCTCCAGCTTCGGGACCAAAGAGAATGTGTGAACTCAACGTGCAAAACAAGTCTTTTAAAAAAACTTTCTTTTTTTCCAGATACATATGATTTACCAAAACACTCCAGTGTTAGTTTTTTTTGAAGGTGAAAACTTTGCGTTCGGATCTACTCACCGAATCCCTGGTCATGATTTGTCAGCGGACGGCTTGATTATTGTTTCGGTTGGTTATCGCTTGAACGTTTTTGGTAAGACGAGAGATCAAGTTGTTTTTTTTTACCACTTTCAAGCATGCATGTTAATGTTCTGATTTTAAATTTTTAGAAAATCACGAAACGATAATCCCATCTATCCCACTTATTATAGTTACCCGACCTCCGTCGTCAATTCTTTTGTTCAAGATAAATATCGTTAGATTTACGTTAGCTGATTCAAATTTTGTAAATTTGTCCATTTTGGTCTTATAAAGAACTGTATAAATTTTTGATTAAATCGCATTTACCGTTTACGTATAAACGATAATTGACGTAAGTGCCCTACTTCCGCTGTTTTCCACTGAACCGTTTTTATGAAAGTTCCATTCCTTGGTTTCCTTGGTAACCTTTGTTTGTTATCAGCTGATGTTTTATTTCCATATCCTGGCCAAGTCAGCGGATTTCCCTTCTGTCTTTTTTTTTTTTTTTTTTTTTTTTTTTTTTTTTTTTTTTAATAAATCATTGCTAGGTTAGTTCTATTTTTTGCCAGCATTTATTCTACCTCTTCCCCTCCCAGCTCATTTTTCTAACTCCCGCAGCCCCCTCATTTTATTTATGTATATATATATGCATGCCTTGCTCCCCTGCCACCATTTTTTCGGGGTTTCATTCGTAGTGATAAAATAGTAAACCCCTAACCGGGATAAAAAGTAGGAATTTGAAGAAAAGCCAAATAATCAGTATGAAACGGGATCGATAAGGATTAAGCAGGACAGGTAGGGATAAAAAGGGATATATAGGAATTAAAGTGCCTATATCATACCCTTCGCTATCTTTGATTATCAATCTTCGATTTATAGTTTGATATTAAACACGATACACATGGATAAAACGCGATGTATTGACATTAACTGGGATAGAAGGGAGAACAGCATTCTTTGTTTATCGATCTTCGATACATCGTTCGATATAAAGCGGAATAGAAAAGGATAAAACGGAATTTATTGATATTCACCGGGATGAAAGGTAGGAATTTTCAGAAAAGGGGAATAATCAGTATGAAACGGGGTAGATAAGAATTTAACAGGACAGATAGGGATAAAACAGGGTGATGTTTATCGATCTTCGTTACATCGTTCGATATAAAATATGATAGAAATGGGTAAAACGGGATGCATTGATATTAATTGGGTTAAATGGAGGAAGTTCGAGAAAGGGGGAATAATAATCAATGTGTAAACGTACCCGATAAGGAATAAAACAGGATAGGTAGGGTTATCCCACCTATCCTGTTGTTGTGTTTGATGCATGCATTTGTTGTGTTTGATAAGTTTGTTGTGTTTGATATGTTCGTCGTGTTTTCACTCGACCCACCTATATTCTATCTTCAACTATACAGGGTGTCCCAAAAGTCCCTTCCACCCCCTCTAAAATTTTACCTAATTAATATTTTGAAACAAAACTTTGGGAATGTTCAAAGATGAATGTAAGCTACTTTCAGGAGCCCCCTAAATCCCACCCCCCCCCCCCCAGGAGAGGGGCTACGGACCCCAACCTGTTTTCTCCAATGGCAACATCCTCTTTGTGACACATCAATTCAAAGAGAATTAAAAAAGAACATTTTTGGCGCAAACCGCAAGTCAAACTTTTGATTTTTGACAAACTGGCCGCCGCCGGTCAAATTTCAAAACAATGGTAATTTTCATCTCCGTTTTCGTCGATGGATTGGGATGAAACTTAGTTTATAAGAGTTTTTGGAACGAGAAAAACGATTCTGGCATTATTTTTCCGGAGAATTTTTGTCCTATTCAAAATGGCGGCGGTCAAAATGGCGACCTTGAGCGGCAAGACAATATATTAGGCTGCTTATCGGTGGATTTGCATGGAACTAGGTAGCAGGGGGTATTTCGGCACGAGAAAGCCGAATCTGTCATTGAATTTTTGAAATTTTGAATAACTCCAAGATGACGAGGAAAATGGTGGAGACTTGATATTTCGGACGTTTACGGATGGATTCGCAAGCTTTCATTTTGAAAGTATTTGACATTTCAGAAATGCAATGCGAAAGAGTCATTTTTGGTCGAACCAAAAACCAACAGGACTCAGAGTTTCATTTGCATTCAACCGTAAACGTCCGTAATACCAAGTTTCCGCCATTTTCCAGATGCAAAAGGATTGATAGACATAAAACTGCATTCATCCCGTAATCTAAGTTCATCCTAATTCAGTACCATTCATCACTGCAGGAACAATGAATTAGATATTAAATTGATTGAATTTCGAATAAATTAAATGTGTCGAGTTTTATAAATTAGGATTATGAGATGAAAAAAAATCTAATCACACTTTGGTAGGTAATAGGTTATGTTACATTTTTTTGTTTACTGGATCAAGACCCCCGCTCTTAACCTCTTACCATAAATAATTATGCTGAACACTTATCAAGTGGATTGCCGATCTCTCCAATTGTGCTCCAATTAAAAAAAAAAAAAAAAAAGGTGTTAAATACTTCTCCTCCTCCCTCCCTCTCATGTCTCTAGCTATTTTTCAGTTTATTTTTCCAGAGGATGCCAGGATGCCTGTCTTCCCTGCCACCATTTTTTCCTCAGAATATGGAATCTTTCCCTTTTCAGAGGTGGTGCGTGCTTCTCCGCCGAAACAATACATTTTTAAACGTTTGAAATTCTATTTTTCCGCATTTTAAGTATCATTGTTACCATTCTCACTCATGTGTTATCTTAATTTCCTTCTCCCTCTACTCATGTTTCCACTTATTTTTCATTATACCTATTTATGATTTTACATTATCACTTTTCACCTTTTCACGAGAGGATTCAACTTGATTCATCTCCCTAGTAGCAGAACAAATTTTTATTTTTCTAAAAAAAAGTATTAAAAAAACATATCTGTTATCTAAATGATCGTTTTATATAAAAAACGTGTAGCGCTTATATAAAAAAAATCAAAGTTTAGACCTGACCGTAATATATGAAAAATGATAAAAGCTAAATAAGGTAATTTTTTTTTATACACACATTTTTTATTTTTTATGTAACGCATGCATACGAAAGTGTTAAAAGTGAACATTTTTATGTAACGATTATATAAAAAAATAGGTCATCATTTTCGTGAGCTTTTCGCGAATTAGAAGAATTTTTAGTATGTTCGCGAAAAGCTCACGAAAATTATAACATTTTTTTATATAATGGTTACATAAAAATGTTCACTTTTAACACTTTTGTATGCATGCATTATATAAAAGAAATTACTTTCGTACATAATATTTATCTTTTCCTTCTGTGGTTCTGCTACTATAGGGATGTCGTAATGAGGCTGATGAAATTAGATATTTCTGAATAAATCAAGATAAATCATCATAACACTTGCATAGTCATGGTAATAATTTAATATTTCTAGTGCTGTTATTGCCCTCCTTCCATAATCGTGTCCGGTTCTAATGTAATCCTCCCCCACCCTTATAAAAAAAATTTCAAGAATGCGTTGATTCGTTTTGAATTTTAGTTGTATTTTTGTACTAAATATCTTTAATTACGAAATTGAGTGTTTTAACAACGCATCTGTTTATGATTCATTTTACTATTTATTATAGGGGGAAAGGGGGAGGGGTGGCGGATCTGGATGAAGTTAGGTGCAACTCGGAACATCGGGATCAAATTGAATAGATGCAGACCAACGAGTAGCAAAAATACGAATAAAATACTCTTTCAAGATACGGTATTTATTTGTATCAAAATACATATTTTATACTTTGAAAATAGATATTTTATCTCGTAATTAATATATGATAAAATATGGTATTTTTTCCAGTATTTCCAGGGTTTAAAATACTGTATATAGGTATCATATTTATACCGTATTTGGATATGACATTTATACAGTATTAATACTATATTTACACATAACTTATTAATGGTCGAAAAAATTTCTGGCACTCACTTGCGCGATAAATTTACATTGCGAATGCGTTTCGTCGCGTCGGCTTTCCCTTCGGCATCCTCATGGCGCGACCCCGCGTGGAGTTGCGCTGTGGATGCAGGAGGGAGAGCAGGCGAAACGGGTCCGCAATATAAATTTATCGCGAGAGTAAGTATCAAAAATTTTTTCGATCAGTTCCTTGTGCAAGTCTCAAAAATATTTTTATTCAGTATTAATGGTGTATTCATATGGAGTGTCTACAGACTTGGGAAGAAAAATTTCCCTGACATTTCCAAATTTTCCCTGACCATATTGATCAAAATTCCCTGATTTTGTACATCGACAATTCGACACATAGAGCTGAAAATGAACAATTTTTGTGTATGTACACAATTTTTTAAATTAGTTTCACCGTAACTGATAAAAGCATGTGAACCTTTTCCCCTTCCGTATCTATCACTCAATCATCTAAAATTCCAAATCCTACTTGAAACTTACATTCACGAAACTATTACATGCTCATAACAAAGCCAGTCCTGCAGCCTGGTGGTAGGTTGTGTGAATGCACTCTTTTCAAACTTTTCCGGTCTTTTTCATAAAATTCTCAGAATTTACCCGGTTTTCCAGACCTGTAGACACCCTGTCTTATTTAAATTTTTATTAGGCGTAAGTCGCCATACCCCACATAAAGCAACACATCTGGACTGAGACATTTCAGTAACTCTGTCAACATATCATTTTTACACATTTTTGCTAGAAAAATGAATTTATCTTTCTTGACGAAAACTGTTATTTTCAGGCTAAAATACCAAACTTTTCATAGATTGAGAGTGAAGTGTTGACCTGGTAACAGAAATGTTGCGATCAAGTCAAGTCGATTTGTGTGAGGGACGAAAATTCATGCCCAATAACAAGAAATTTCTATGGAGACGCTTCAAAATTTTCTTCTTCCATTTCCAAAAGAAAATCACTATACATTCGAATTTATTTGAAAGCCCACATACTTTGTTTTTTTTATGTTTGTTTAAGGTTAGGATGAATTTAAAAAATGTATATGCTTAAAAGCATTACATTAGAAATGCTGATGAAAACTTTGAAACGGTTTCAAACAATTACAGGAGAAAAAACAAATTTGTAAGAACAAAGAAGTATGAAGGCACAAAACTTTGTATAATAATAAAGTCATAGAAAAAACAAGTCTTATTTAAACCCACTGAGTAAACCTTCAAGGTATTACATGGAAATATTCGGACCTTTGAGGAAACAAAAAAAAGTCATAGAAAAAACAAGTCTTACTTAAACCTGTTTAGTAAACCATCAAGGTATTACACGGAAATATTTAGACACTTTGAGGAAACAAAAAAGTCATAGAAAAAACAAGTCTTACTTAAACCCGTTAAGAGTAAACCTTCAAGGTATTATTTGGACACTTTAAGGAAACAAACCAATGTGAATTAAACAATAATTAGATCAAAGACTAAGAGATCTCTTTTGCAAAATCAACAATGCAACATTCAGTGGAACACATGGTTGAAAATCGTCCACTTGTCATTCAGAAAATAAATTAGAGACTACATTATATTTCCAAAAATGAATGTGAAAAGCTCATCTTAGAGAAAACTTTTAAAGAAAGGATAAAATAGAACACTTTCATTTAACTACTTACACAAACAATATTTTGAGCACTTGGAAAATATTAATGAGTATGAGAGAAAAAACTAAAGGCACAAAAACAAATAATTTCAAGAAATATTTGGCCACCGTATTGAATGAATAGTTGAAAATAGTAATGAGTATGAGAGAAAAAACTAAAAGCAAAATAATAAACGTAAACACGATAGCACAATAATAACACGCACGTGTAAGCACGTGTAAGCACAATAATATACGTTCAAAGACGATTTTCTCATTCTTTGCCTCTGTGGCCTTATTAATTTTTGAAATCCATGTTGATAATTTTTCTGTGAGTAAATTTTCCTTTGAACTTTTTTTCATCTATTTTACTTTCGAAACTCATTTGTGCATTGAATAAAATTTCACTTAAGTTTCACTTAAATTTCACATTTAATTTCTCTGCGGCTTAAAGTCAAACAAATGTTGCTTAATTAAGATGGGACCGGGAAGTAATTATAAAAATTATTAAATAATATTATATATATATATGTCTGTCTGTGTGTGTGTGTGTGTGTGTGTGAGGGTGTGTGTGTGTGTGTGTGTGTGTGTGTGTAGGTAGGAGCGTATGTGTGTGTGAGTGATGGTGCGTGTGAGGGTGTGTGTGTGTGTGCGTGTGTGTGTGTGTGTGTGTAGAATGGGTAGCCCGAAATACGATAGCGAAAACACAATAAAAAAACCCTGCCGCAAGCGCGGGGTTTTTCCGTGGGGTTGCCGGCAAGTAGGGGACGGTTCTTTTTGTAGTCCGCGCATTTACCGCGGCATGAGTGTATTTTCCGAAGGGTACCTAGCGTCACATTGGGGAATGAAATCATTTACCCTTCCCCTCTTGCCACAGATATATCTCAAGAAACGGTTCCCCTTGGCTGCGCAACTCCCAGAGAACCGATCTGTCGGTACTCTCCCTATACAGGTACTCTACTCCTACCCCCCCTCACCCGTAAAATCGGTAAATTGCCACTATTATGGAACGCGTTGGCCGATTTCGCTGAAATTCAATAGGAGACCAGTCTTAGTAGATATCGAACTACCATCAAAATTTCAGCTCAAAATATCCATTTTTACTCGAGTTATCGCGTGGACAAAATTAAACCTCCCCCCACTTTGACCCCTCGCTCTGCGAAAAGTAATTAACGCATTCCGATTTTTTCTTCACAGTTCAAAAGTACTCTTAGAGGACTATAAACCCCAGAAGTTTCGTTTCAAGAAACTTAAAAATTAACTGCCGCTCAACGCTCTGAAAACTGAAAAATCCTCACGCTGACTGAAATACACACACACACACACACCCTCACACACACACACACACCCTCACGCACGCACACACGCACGCACCCTCACACCCTCACACACACACACCGTCCTGTATGAAAAATAATTGTGGGGCCACCGGATTTGTGTGTTGTTGTAAAACTAACCTAACCTAACCTAAGCTCAAGACCAATCCACACAGGTCAGTCATAGATCGTATTCGATACATCGAACGGGTAAGATTGTATCGATATCGATTGGTTTAAAACATAAACATAGCCTCCAAAGTAAATTCAGAAATCTGAGAGAGCGGGTCTTTTGTAACAGATGTTTTATTCTTTTAGTACCAAATGCCAATGCAAAGTGAAATTGTCGGGAAATATCTCATTTTCAGCTTTTCCAACCTAAATCCTTACAGTTTCGTTTGAGGTTATGTTCTATTGTTTTGAACCAAACGATACATCGAACCGTTATCGAATACGGTCTATTGCGCATCTTTTTGAAAGCCACTTCCCCGCCCGGCCCTAACTCGGCGGCACTCAATTCTTCGTCACAATGGGTGTTCCCATAAAAAATACATTGCAGGCACTCAATACGACGTCTTTGCGCAGTAGAGTACCAAAACTCGTCCTCGGGAATGACTGACCTGTGTAGATTGGTCTTGACCTAAGCTAACGATATTTCGGCCGAAACAGCCTAATTTCTTCTAACCAAATTTAACCTAACCTAATCTAACCTCGAGTTAACCTAACCTAACCTGACCTATCGGGCTTTTTTTTAGCCGATAAATGCCGTTTTCCGTCACGGTTTTAGTATATTTTCCGAAGAAAACACGGAAGGAATCGATGAGTATTCAAAAGATGAAAAACGGTGTGTTACCAGGTTTTTTGTGCTTTGGAGATGCTGAAGCTAGAGGGAACTTGGGACTCTTGGACCAGTACCTAGCAATGCGCTGGGTACAGGAAAACATAAACAAATTTGGAGGGGATGTCAATAAAGTGACGGTGATGGGTCACTCTTCCGGTGCGGCAAGTATTATGTATCATTTGGTGTCTCCACGCACAAAACGTAAGTTCATAACTTCAGACAGAATCCTACCCAAACTTAAGCATATTAATTTGGGCAGAGAACTGCATGTGGCTTATCGCATCCCTGCCCTTCAAGAGGCACTCATGTTGTTTGCATGTTCAAGGAAAACTAGTTTCCACTTTTATAACGCCTGCGGTGTTTCCTTCCTTCAAAGAAAGAAATTATTTGAAATACAACATGCAAGTGGTCCGTCCATCCGTCCCTTTTAGAAGGCATAATTTTATACCTATACTATTTTCAGTGAAGCTCTGTATTCAGCAGGAGGTTCCGCGTTCGTTTTCCAACTAAGGGCGGGTCCGAGTTTCATAGGCTCAAGCGAGCGAGTTGCCTGTGGCTGTTTGTTGGATAAGTAAGTACCTAGGTACCTACCTATTGAAGAGAGATGGGGACCATGCACTAGATTAGTTCCTAGGGCTTCTAGAAGAAATAATCAGAGAAAAAAATGCAGTTATAAACAAGTATACAAAATACAGATAAAAAAAGGACTCACTGAAAAATTTTAATTTTCAGAGCTCTTCCAGAGCGCAATCATGATGTCTGGATGCTTGACTTCTCCCATAGCGCAGAAATCGAACACTCAGATCATCGAAGCATCGTTCCAATTGGCAAAAAGTTTAGGATGTTATTTCCCACATGACACAAAACTCGTCGTCCGTTGTTTGAGAACAAAATCAGCGTTTGAACTTCTCGACGCATACGGGAAACAGAACATTGTAAGTTCATTAATATTATTCGTCAGATGACCTTTACTGACTTTGATATTCAGCCCAGCATCAAAAGAGATTATTTTTCATTATTCAAGGGTAGGGAATTTTACTTCGGTTCATCTCACCCTTTAGTTGCGGTAGGACAGCCAACGCATAGTATTCAACACATGGGAAAGTAAGCAAGACACATTTTGCTCAATCTATATCATTGCGGGATATAACTTGTAAAACGTCACCATCACTTTCACTGGTGGGCCTTGTCTCCACGGGCCGTTTCACGGGATTTGTCCCAGGGAAAAATCCCACTTACAAAGTTGGGAAAAATATTGAGTTAATCAATATTTTTCCCAGTAGGTACCAAGTATGGTCCTTGTACCCCTAGGACCCACTGAGAGAGGAAGAAGAAGTGAAAACGAATTGTGCGATATTTTGTTGATTACTCTATTGTTCATGTTTGTTCAGTTAAAATAATGTGTCTAATTGTCAATTGAGTCCCTGGTAAAAATGGCAAGTTTTAGGTCAGTGAATCTTCCACTGAGGTCAGTGCGATTTGCTCTGAGGTCAGTTCAGTTTTCTCTGACGTAAGTGTTGAAGCACTTACCCAAGAAGTCAGCACTGAGGTAAGAGGCACTGGCGTCGGGAGAAACACTTACTTAAGTGTAGAGATATCTGTGGGGTAAGCGGGACTGAGGTCAGGACTTGGTTCAGAGGGTAAGTCTCCGACATCAGTCTTAATCGAACCGCACTCACTCCCAAAAAGTAGAGATGGCTCCCCCTTCCCCCACTCTATTTCATTTTCGTGGGGGAATATTTCCTCGGGATACGGGGACCACAAAGAGGTTGTTCCAAAAACGCCGATTTTGGCCCCCCCCCTGGATTTGGCCCAAACTTTTCTTAGATGTTGTACTAAGTGTCCCCGATGCTTGGGCAAAATTTCAGCCCCCTCGAATAATTAGGGGGGAGGGGGCAGGGGGCAAAGTTGCAATTTTTTTAATACTTTAAAAATCGATATCTCGCGAACGGTTTGAGTGTAAGTGTTGCAAATATTCTCTACAAGAATATTAATGCTGTTTGCAAGGTTGCGTAATTTCTCACGGTCATAAATCGATTTTCTCGATTTTGAAGGTTCGACTTTTCTTCGTTTTTCGTCTCTCCTCTCCAGGCGATCGTTGCTACGTGAATAAAAACCTGTTGAGGTGTTTCTCCATGAAATTATGCATCTACCACACTTTGTTTGACCTTGGGGAAACGATTCGTTCGTGAGTTACAGCGATTTTTCTGCGCGTTACCACCGGTTACACGCGGGCGGCATGTCGGCGGCGCTCCATCCCGCGCGGGCAAGGCAGAGGTTGTTTCACCGCTAGGGCCTTATATTCATGCTGTAGGCTGTAATTATCGATATTTTCTCCTCCCCCCACCCCTCCCCTGCGCTCAAAAATGATCTCTTCAAGACGAGGACATCGGCCCCCTCCATAATTTCCCGTTGGTCAAAAATTGACGTAGATTTTCCGGAAAAAGATGATTTCCCAGGTAATCGACCACAAGGAAACCGATTTTCATGGTCCCGAGGCCCCCCTAGCCGCCCTCGGGGGGTAAAAGGGGGAGGCACAATGTCTCCCGACTTTTGGGATCGAGACCCCCTCTTTACCTCCCAAGGGGGGCATGGAGGGTTTCGGGACCGTGAAATTCGGATTCCTTGGGGTCAATTTCCTACTCAACCTCGAGGTCCCCCACTTCGTACTACGTAAACCAACCGAGAAAAAGACCTGTTACGGGTGGTCTGGCATACCCTGTACAACGAAGTATTAAACAAATATTTATTGGAGGAGAAGGGTGGGGGGAGGAGAAAATATCGATAATTACAGCCTACAGTATGAATATAAGGCCCTAGCGGTGAAACAACCTCTGCCTTGCCCGCGCGGGATGGAGCGCCGCCGACATGCCGCCCGCGTGTAACCGGTGGTAACGCGCAGAAAAATCGCTGTAACTCACGAACGAATCGTTTCCCCAAGGTCAAACAAAGTGTGGTAGATGCATAATTTCTTGGAGAAACACCTCAACAGGTTTTTATTCACGTAGCAACGATCGCCTGGAGAGGAGAGACGAAAAACGAAAAAAAGTCGAACCTTCAAAATCGAGAAAATCGATTTATGACCGTGAGAAATTACGCAACCTTGCAAACAGCATTAATATTCTTGTAGAGAATATTTTTAAACGTTTTTTAGCACAAACCGCAACACTTACACTCAAACCGTTAACGAGATATCGATTTTTAAAGTTTTAAAAAAATTGCAACGTTGCCCCCGTGCTCCCTCCCCCGTAATTATTCGAGGGGGCTGAAATTTTGCCCAAGCATCGAGGACACTTAGTACAGCATCTGAGCAAAGTTTGGGCCAAATCCAGGGGGGGGGGGCAAAATCGGCGTTTTTGGAACAACCTCTTTATCTTTCAGAGAGGCATATTTTGTAGGAGGTGGGATTTTCTAAGAGGGAAGGAAAACTTGTTTAGGTAGCCCCACTCTTGAATAATTTGTTTTGCCCTCTTCGTTTATAATGGCACTTACATAGGTAATTAAAACACAAAAAAAAATGAGATCGGTAAAAATATTATCACCGCTATAATATGTATTTCGATGTATTTATTTAAGCATTATTATTTTTTTTAACTTAAGAGTTTTTTTTTAAAAAAAATTGATTTTAATTTGGCTTTAATTTTTCTCAGTTTTAACTCTTTTTAAAATATTTCAGTCTTAATTTTTTTTTTAAATTTTCCTACTTTATTTTTAATTCTTTTCTAACTTTTTTACTCCTTTACTTTCAATTTTTGTGTCTGCTAATTTATATTTATTGTATCATTTCAACTTTAATTATTTTTTTTTACATCCTTAGCTATAATTTTGAATTTTAATGCGTTCCAATTTTTTTTGTTTTCAAAGAAACATACCTTATAAAACTTTATTTACATGTTGATTGATTAAAAAAGAATAATAAAAAAATTAAGTATCGGATTCACATTCAAAGACAAAATCATCATTTGCTGGCAAAATTACTCCAATGGGGCCATGAAATGGCATAATTACGCCCCTAACACATACACGCGCAGTTAGTGTATTGATCACCGAAGTTAAGCTACGTCGGGCGTAGTTAGTACTTACAATTAGATTGGAGACCGCATGGGAACGAGCGTTGTCCCCTGAAGATTGTGATACTTACTTGTGATTGAAAACTCACAGCAGCCCTCCCTGGTCATCAAATAGTGACTTAACGTACCTGGCAGATCGGTAATTAACGAAATTTTTGCCTGTACAGTATTTCTGGGAGTTTCCACTCCGCTTACGTCTGAGACACTTAGGTCAGTGCCACTTACATCAGAGGCACTTGCCTTTGGAACAGACCTAACACTGAGGTAGCAGATCAGCGCCCGGCAGCACTGACATCAGTGTTGAAGGTCTGTTCCAAAGGCAAGTGCTACTGATCTGAGCACTTGCCATTTTTACCAGGACCTGCCCTTGATTTTCACTTCAAGCCAGGTGCAAAACCTAAATTCTGTAGAGCTCGACCGCTTCCCTATTCCATGCTAGATCAGTACGCTGCCCAAATTGATGAAAAAATCAAATCAGGATTCTATAAAATGGTTGATCATTCTGAGTGGGCTAGTCCCACACATGTTGTTGTCAAAAACAACAAGCTGAGAATTACGGGCGAAACCACTCTCAATCCTAACCTAATAATTGACGACTATCCTATTCCCAGGCCGGAGGAACTCTTTGCAAAAAATCGTGGCTGTAAATACTTTTGCAAGCTGGATGTTAAGGACGCATTCATGCATCTTCGGTGCTCTCAGACTGCATGCGAAGCGATGACTTTGAACACTCCAACGCATGGGTTAATCCAGCCTACAATAGCGCAGTATGGTGTCTCTGATATCCCCCCTGGTAAAAATGGCAAGTGCTCAGATCAGTAGCACTTGCCTTCTGAACAGACCTTCAACACTGATGTCAGTGCTGCCGGGCGCTGATCTGCTACCTCAGTGTTAGGTCTGTTCCAAAGGCAAGTGCCTCTGATGTAAGTGGCACTGACCTAAGTGTCTCAGACGTAAGCGGAGTGGAAACTCCCAGAAATACTGTACAAGCAAAAATTTAGTTAATTACCGATCCGCCAGGTACGTTAAGTCACTATTTGATGACCAGGGAGGGTTGCTGTGAGTTTTCAATCACAAGTAAGTATCACAATCTTCAGGGGACAACGCTCGTTCCAATGCGGTCTCCAATCTAATTGTAAGTACTAACTCCGCCCGACGTAGCTTAACTTCGGTGATCAATACACTAACTGCGCGTGTACCTATATGTTAGGGGCGTAATTATGCCATTCCATGGCCCCATTGGAGTAATTTTGCCAGCAAATGATGATTTTGTCTTTGAATGTGAATCCGATACTTAATTTTTTTATTATTCTTTTTTAATCAATCAACATGTAAATAAAGTTTTATAAGGTATGTTTCTTTGAAAACAAAAAAAATTGGAACGCATTAAAATTCAAAATTATAGCTAAGGATGTAAAAAAAATAATTAAAGTTGAAATGATACAATAAATATAAATTAGCAGACACAAAAATTGAAAGTAAAGGAGTAAAAAAGTTAGAAAAGAATTAAAAATAAAGTAGGAAAATTTAAAAAAAAAATTAAGACTGGAGCATTTTAAAAAGAGTTAAAACTGAGAAAAATTAAAACCAAAAAAACAATTTTTTTTAAAAAAAACTCCTAAGTTAAAAAAAATAATAATGCTTAAATAAATACATCGAAATACATATTATAGCGGTGATAATATTTTTACCGATCTCATTTTTTTTTGTGTTTTACTTATTTAAGCGCCATCTTAAACGAAGAGGGTAAAACAAATTATTCAAGAGTGTGGCTATCTGAACTAGTTTTCCTTCCCTCTTACAAAATCCCACCTTCTACAAAATACGCCTCTCTGAAAGATAAAGTTTATGGTCCCCGTATCCCG